TGTATCTTTTGTTCCTTATCTGAACAGTACAAAGGAGGCTGATTTCCTTTTTAGTCCTTGGGACCACACTTCGACCCAGGTACTGCATCTCAAACACAACATAACCAGACCTCTTTATCTCCCACCCAAACAAGTTGTTTTGATTTAATTATGGCCTAAAAAGTAAAATGTAATGAAACAAAAGTAAAACCCAGAATAGATATATTTCTCTATCTATGCCCTCCTATGCAATATACATAAATCTTTGTTCATTATTTGCAAGTTCTTGTATCTGGATCTCACACTAGATCTTGTTAGGATGGATTATTATGTCTGAGGAAGTACATTCCAAAATCCATTTGTTCACCATAAGACTCATAGATGAGCCTGACCCTCCTCTGTGCTGTATGGCAAAAGACTAAGAGGAGGATCAAGGAAGAATCAAGGCTTTTTCTCATCACTTATTTTCTGTGATACACTTTTTTTTTATTAGAGCCTATTATTTGGGTATGATAGAGTTTTTAAGAGAACTAAAAGAACACATGTTTTCCTTTACCTAAAAAATCTTTGTTCATTAATAGAGTGCCAGATATTTCAAGACAAGACTTTTTTGAAAGAAAGAGAGAATGTGGTTCAATAAAACAGAACAAAAAACCCCACCAGGTCAAGTAGGCTGGGCTCACTAGCCACAGTTGACTGACAGCTATCAAAGCAGGCAGGTGCCTGTCTGGGTCTTCTGAATTTACTCCTACCCACTGACAAGGCATGAGTGTGTGTCCCAAAATAAAGTAGATATAAGGATAGTCAGTGATGTGATGCTTCGTCAAATTCCTCTGATTCAATAGTATTTCAGCTTGAAGTCTGGAAAGCAAGATAAAAATTATGCTTTCATTGACTTTTCCCTTTTTTTATTTATCATTTTACCCCAAGCCAATCAGTGGGAATCTTATTTTTAAAGCAAAACCAACAAGTACGTAGGCCACAATATTATATTGCTTCATTGGTGCCAAGCAGGGATTAGGCTATCCCACTACCTAGTTACATAGTGTTGTGTAAGTTGCTTCACTTCTCTAAGCTTTGGTTGTCTTATTTTTTAAAGTCAAGTTATTGATCCTGGCTTAACTGATCTTTAAGGTCCCTTCCAGAATGGCACTGGGACTTTTTTTTTAACCACTGGTGATCATCCTAAGGCCATTCATATGCAATCTAATGCCCACCTCCTTAGGAGACTTTGCTTGGTTTTGCTGTTTAAGCTAGTAGCAAGCATTAATCATTGCAAGCCTAAACAAAGCAACTTGGAAGCACTTCACGAATGCTTCTAAGTGGATGAAACCATGTGCGTTTAGAATCCTATTAGGTGAGCTTTTATGTTCCAAAGAGAAACACTCAAGAACTTTGTAATTCCATCACGATGAAACCTCTACCACTGAATGTAATTGTCAACATTTATCAGTTCACCTGTTTTTGGTCACATTTTGGATTTTTTTTTCACCTCTTCCTTTTTCCTCACCAGAAGTAGCAGTGAGTAGGGTTTTTGTTGTTGTTGCTAGGCATTCTGTCAGAAAGAAATAAGATATCACCTGATAAGAGTTACCATGGACAGAGCAAAAGAAAGGGAACAGTAAAGTCATTTTGAGACTGATGCCATGTCCCTAGGGAGACCCTTCACTGGTAGGTGATTCAAGGCTGGCTATGAATGCACCACTCAGAACTCCTCTTTGTAGAACTGCCATGGACCAGCACTGTTTTTAACCTCTTCTATTGCCCTTGATGGGCCAGTGCTCTGGAATGACAGAGAAAGCCCCATCATTGGCTGACTGCACTTAATAAAATCACAAGAGGATTCGCTTTTGTCATTTCCCTGACCCAGGTTCCAACCTCCTTTCAGAAATGATGTTGATGGATGAGGATAAAGATACATAACTCCATGACTTCTTTTTTTAACCAAAGTCTGGGAAAAGCATCTTCTAACATTTAGGCTCAGTTTAACCTATTTTATAACTCATCCTTTGTGCCACAAAACCTTCTCTGATCTTCTCACAGGGTAGCTTTCTAACTCTTAATTACTATTTATTTTGTTTGCATATATTGTGATTGTTCTAGAACACAGTGGGTTCTAGAACCCATGGGAGGAACATTTGCCGGGGATCAGTTGTGCTCAGCTTAACCCCTTCTCAAAGAGTCAAGAACACAGAGATTCAGTGTCGTCCTCCACCTCATTTTTTGTTTCCACACAAGATCTTAGCAACATTTACTCCTTCCCCTGAACTCCTAGACTTCCTACATCATGATTTTATTTCTGCCATCTAATCCTTATTATTTACCTCCTTCCGTGTAATAAATTTTCCTTTTGATCAAACGGCCCAATCAACAAGTAGCCTGAGTGCCTCTCGACTCTCAGCTCTCCTCCTCTGCCCCATTTTGGTTGAAGCTGTAAGCTCTAAGCCTTTGCATGTATTATCCATCCTCATGGCCTACCTAAAATCTATTTGTCTTGAGACCTGTTTGAAGTGCTGCTCTGTCTAGAAAGCCTTCTCTGGGCATGCTACCAGTAGCCCTGGATGTTCCCTGTGTCTGTCTACCCACAGCATGCCTCTTAGGTCAGAATTGGTTGTATACATGTTTGTTTTCTGGAAGACAGAATCCACCTGGTCTTTGCTTTCCTATCCTTGTCTTGGTGCTCAAATACATAGCATAGAGATCCTTTGTCTGCATTTCATGACAACAAAATCCTCCTGCCTGCCATGGCATTAGTAATGTGGTCATTCTCCCTCCCACTGGGCTCTGACCTCATTATGTTTCTGCAATAATGTCTTCCTCTCCCTATTCATTCCTTTCATTCCTTTATAAAGTTCTTCCTAGAAGTAATTTAGTACAAAGCAAGAGAATTGGCAGGAACTATATGTTTTAGAATCTGCCAACTCAGGAGGGTTTAAGGTGGCTATTCAAGATTTTTGCAAATGCTGTTTATACCAGAGAAGCAGCAGCAGCATTTATCACTCACTTTCTTGGCTCTAGCATAGTCTCAGCCAAGTTGAAGCTGATGACATTGACCATGCAACAAAGGTAAATTTTTTCATCGTGCACAAATCTCCCCTTTACTAAAATCAGAATTTATGTGCTGGCCAAAAGCAGAGCTGATGTATCAAGTATACAAACAATTGGCCTCTGAACCAAAAAAGTGACTCTTAAGAGTCACCTTTTTTTAATTGTCTTGTCCTCAACCTAATTATTATTGATTTCTATAGACGTCTAATACTAACTTATTCATAGACCATTCACCTATATTTTTTGCCTTCACCACTTCTATTCTAATTCATATTTTGTGTAGCAGTGGACTTCATATCTGCTTAAAATCTTCCCACTTTTCTGAGTGGCTTCATATAAATTGTCTTATAAATCAGGGGCTCATTTATATTAACAAAGCAGCTGAATTCTTTCCTTGGGAAAATGTTGATTTCTTGAGAAAAATCAAGAACTTTAGCAAGTTCTTCACATTTCTCTGACTTATTGACACATCTTCCCAATTGCCTCTTCCTCAAACCCAAGTGATAACCACTCACCATCTTGGTCTACTCCAAACCCCAAACTGTAGACTTTCTGCCCCAACCCCACTCATCCTGGTTGTTGCCAACTTCAAATGAATGCCAGGCAGGGACAACAACTTACCTTCCTAGTTCACACCCCTCCCTGGGACTGAGCAGGGCTCAGTCCCCAGTAAACCCACTGATGATGTTCCCTTCTTGTTCACTTGCAGAATACATGCTTAAGGAAGAGTAGTAGAGGAGGTTTGACTGACTAGTCTTTGATATTAACAGGTCGAGTACCAAGACAAAACCCCACTGAATAATGAACAGACTCTAAAACAATGAAAGACAGGAATGAAAAACAAGTAATGTTAAGGAGAGGGTAATAGTGGGAATGGGGGGAGGGGAATGAAGTGGGTAAAGGAGGGTGACTGGGGTTGAGGTACTTTCTATATATGTATGAATATGGAGCATGAAACCTATCGAAGTCATTTTAAGAAAGGGAAGAGGGAAGAGAGAGAATAAAGGAGGGGATGAACCAAACCAGGATACAGTGTGTGTGTGTGTGTGTGTGTGTGTGACAACAGAACCTCCTGTACACTAAAAAAAAACCCTATATAATCATATACTGATAAAAATGTTTTTTTAAAAAAGTTTTCCTTTCTCTACACCTACACTACACAGTATGTGTGTGGTGATGCTGGTGGTATGTGGAGGGGGCAATGTATGTGTTTTGAACAACACTATAATCCTAAGCTTCTTAGCAAGCTAACACTACAATTCAGAGACCAAAGGTTAAAAGGTCCATAAAGTCCTGAGAAGACGTGGCTGCATTTCAGTGCTGTCTTCTGGCAGCAAAATCAAGGGGAAGAAAATAGAGCATTGAGTTGTATTGTCTCACTCAGCATTTTCATTTTTCTCCTCACCAATCCACTTGAGCATCTTTGGGGAAACTGAGTTTGGTATTTCTTAGCTGTACTTATGATATAGCTCTTGAAAGGTCCAGTTTAATCTGTACAGATGAGGTACTGGTTTTTCAGCAGCTCCAACCCCAGTGCTCCCTGTGTCCTCTTCTAATAAAGAACCCCCGCAGTGGGCTGCTGCAGATGACAAGCCTGTTGTTGGTGTTCACTAGGCTTTTCATTTTTTCACTCACTTTAGCTTCATTGCTAGTGGTCTTAGTTTTTTTTTGCCTCAAAATTTGAGGAGTTGAAGAAACCCCGTTCCTTCAGGAAATCTTTGAAGGAAAAAGGTTTCAAGTAGGCTGATAGATAAGTCTTGTTCAGAACATAGCCATGAAGCAGCCTTGCAGTTTCTGGCTGACCGAAGATGTAACTGTATTTAGCCTAAAAGGAATCCTGGTCCCTGTGGACTGGGTGAGAGATACATCTGTTTTCTTTCTGAATATCTTTGCTTGTCCTTAAAACACACATTCTTGAGAGATTCATCTTCCACGCTTGTCAGTGGTGAATGACTCTCTTTTCTTTCCCTCAGGGAGGAAGATGAATATTCGGAACTGCGATCAGAACTCAGTCAGAGTCAACACGAGGTCAATGAGGACTCTCGAAGCATGGACCAAGACCAGACCTCTGTCTCCATCCCCGAAAACCAGTCCACCATGGTCACTGCTGACATGGGTGAGTTCACCTGCCACTACCCTAGACCTGAGTTTGGTTTCTGAATTGCAAAAGGGGTCTTAGAAAAAGAGGGAAGACTGAGTTAAAATTTAGTTATTCGGGGAGTTTGGTGAGTGGATGAAGGTATGTCCACTCCAGTCCCTTACTCACTACCTTTATCCAAATGGAACTAGAGAGCTTAATTAGCTTTCTGTCCTGATAGGATTGTGATTCATATACATGTCACCTCTGCTTTAAAATTCTGGAAGTAGGGAACCAGGTAAAAAAGCTATTGCAGCATTCCAAGGGATAGTCCTATCTGAACTGCAGTGATGGGAGTGAAAGGAGAGAATGGTTGACAACCCTTTGCAGCAGAAGTGCCATGTATTGTTTAGTCTCTGTTGGGTAAGAAGAAGGAATCCAAAATTGAGCATGTTGATCCCAAGTGACTAAGAGGATGATCATAGTCCTTGGTAGGGAAGTTTGGTTGGGAAACAAGTTGATAAATAGTCATATTATGTTTGAGGTTGCAGGGAAATACCTATGTGGAAATATCTGGGACCCAGTGTTTTAAACTGCAGGTTACGACCCACTATTGAATCTTATTTGGAAACATATTTTAGAAATTTTCTCACTGTGAGTTGCAGTCAAAATGTCGCACTTAGAAACACCTGCCTGGGTATTTGGAGAGAGATTGAGGTTGAAGGCATAAGCTTTGAAGTAATCTGAGCTGAATGATCCCTGTGGTTGAAAGGATATGGAATCAAAAGAGTAATGTAGGGAGGAGAGGGAAGAAGAGCCAGGAGAAAGAAGAGAAGAATAGTGAGTTTTTATGAAACTTAAAATTTCGTTTAATTAGAAACCTACATAACATGGTACCTTGACAGTGAATCAAAAGATTCTAGGAAGTCCTGGCATGTGAGCTGAGACCAGGAGGATGCACAGTTCTTAAGCAGGTAAAGGAGGAGGTGTCATCCAATGAGGAGGGGGGAGTGCATTCCAGGGGTTCATGGGTCATTGCAGAGAGATGAGGGAGCCTAGAGAGGTGGGCAGGAGCCACATCACCCAAAGACCACATGTGAGAATCTTGCTTTATCCAAAGACTCACAAGAAGCTGTTGAAAGATTTTAATAGTGGGGAAAGAGATGAGATGATCCAGTGTGCATTTCATATCAGTCCCTCTGTAGTATGGAAAAAGAATCTGTAAGTCAAGAGTTGAGTTGGGGACTGGAAGCATGGCTCAAGCCATGAGATGGGAAAGATGATAGGTAGTAAAAAGGAATAAGTCTGGCAAGATTTGCTGAAGAAGGAAATGGGTAGGGGCAAAGGTGTGGATGTCTCAAAGGAGTCTGGTTTGCACAGTAGATGGATTGTGGGACCACTGAGCAATATGGGAGCATAGGGAAAAGGACAGGTGGTTTCTTTCAGTTTTCGTTTTGCTTTCCGGGGTGGGAGCAGTTGAACAAGTGATGGTTTATTCTGTTGGTGTGAGACTGAGATATCTCCAGATAGCTGGGTGGAGATGCTCCAGCAGGCAGTAGAAGAATTGAGATGAGTTAAGTGGGAGATCGAGCTGAGGAAAACCAGTTGGGAGACATTAGGTTGTTTGCAGATGGCAACAGAAGCTGTGGAAGTTGATTTGCAGAGAATGAGAAGTGGGAAGACCTCGATACTAAGCCACAGGGGCAAAGGCTGGTGAGCACACTCAGCAAGAGCTGGTGACAGGAGGCCTTTTATTTTGGTTTCAGGGTAAATGTACCTCCTCAGAAAGCCCCAGTGTGTGTCAGTGCCTCTGCCCCATTTGTCATTGTCCCATTGTTCCCTTCTTGTTTTACACTGAAATTTTGAATTATGTGGTCATTCGCTTGACTGACTCTGCCACTAAACTCCCTAGGCAGAAGTGTGTTTGCTTCATCTCCTGGTTTATTTCCAGAGCCTGTCCCAGGGCTTGGCATATGGCATGTGTTCAAGGATGCCATTGGAATGAATGCCTGAACAATCAACCAGTCCACAAAAGACTTAGGGAGAAAACAAGGAGAGGGTCTTCTGGTGCTAAGCCAGCCAAGCAGGAGAAAGCTCTGGTAATGAAGACATGGTCAGCAGTCTGGATTGCTGCTAAGGCCAAGGAAGATGGATTTAGCCCCGGCAAAGTCATTTGCTGTGCACTGATTGATGCCAGCTTAAGCCACACAAAATGTGTTGAAGAGCAAAGACACCTCCCCAGGCTCTGTACATAAAGCCCAGAGTTTAGGTCCTCGTTAGTTTGCTTTATTTGCCTCCTGAACCCAGGCCCTATGCTTCGTGTTACAGCATACTCCACCCCTACCACCAACCCATCCTGGGGCCTAAGTCTAAAGTGCTGAGTTTATAACCAGCAGCATAGATCACTAACCCTGGTAACCCCATGTTCTGGACTCTGACTTCCAGCGTTAGGCAGCCAGGCAAGTTCAAGGAGCAACCTGTTCACATTCACTCCAGAGGTCAAGCCCTACACTAATGGTTCTATTTGCAGTGTTTGGAACTGATAAGTAACCCACACTCTGACAGCTGCACGTCATAATTGAGTTTGGGAGATGCAGGGACGAACTCACTTGAATGGGCATCTCTCCTGTGGGATTTCTTGGTCCTTCTGAAATGACATAGCATGTGTCACAATAATTCCCCATGGCAGGATCCTGTGTCCACCTGTCTGCAACTTCATTTTCCCAAATCATTCTTTTCAAATGGTTTCTTTCCATCCTGCCCTTTCTCTCCCCCTCTGTCTGTCTGTCTGTCTCTGTCTCTGTCTCTCCAACCTGACCAGCTCCTCTTGCCTTTGGGCTCTTCCTTGGCTGTCCCTTCGTCAGGGAGCATTCCTTCCCACAGTCCACATGTGCCTTTCTCTCCATCAGTCGACTGTCTCCTTCCTGGACTAACCTGACTCATTCTCCAGTGAGCAGCATCACCCACCTCGTGCATTTGCTCCTTCTAGCTCCCAGCACTACCTGAGAAGTCCTGGGCTTGCATTTCTTCCTCTGCATACTGCCAGCCTTGATCCGTTCCCTCACACTAGCATGTAGGCAGCATAGAGTAGGAACTCTGGTGACCTTGTACCCCAGCCTAACAGTGGCTACACATAGAACACACTCAGCCGTCTGAGTAGGAGTGAGTGTTATCCTGGAACCCCTATTCTTTGGAGGATGCAGACACCTCAACAAAACACCCACCATGGGGTCAGGATCACTGTGACCCATTAGGGTCATGGGCCCCAATCATAACCTCAGGCAGGAGCCTAGGATGTCACTTTCCAGAAGTCCTGCCTGAGTGTAAATCTGATGGCTAAATGGGAGTGATGCTGGTGAAGAGGAGTAGGGCAGGAGGAGGTACTCTGGACTGAGAAAGGTGTTCCTGGTCCCCAAGGAGGGCGAGCACTTGGGAATGATTTGGAGGGGCTCATGAAGGTTGCAGCACAGGGTACAGTTGGTGTGTTTGTTCATTGGAACTGGCTGCCTGCCTCTTCTTATTCCTTTGCCATTTTCCAATTAAATTGCTTCAGTAGGGAAAAAAATAGCTTCCATGTATAAACACCATTATCGGAAATCATTAAAAAGCATTCATTTCATTCTGGTTGCTATATTTGCAAACCTGCATTAAGGAACTCAGGTTTTCTCGAGCTGGATTTCATAGGCAAAGTTTGCTCCACTGTATTTGCTGCTTTGCAAAGATAACAGAAGTAAATCCAGTCTAGTCACTTCATCAAAAAGTCCTTGTCTTTTGTTTTCGAACCCGACCTGTCAGAGCCTGGCTACCCCTTCAAATCACTGGGACCTGTCTGTGGGGCCTGCATAGCAATGTACAAGTACTTGATTTTCTAATAAAGATGTACATTGCATCTTACAATAAAATGCACTACCTCTTTCTGAACACAGTTGTTTGGAAAATAAAGATGACTCAGCAACCAAAGCCAAGGTAGGAGTCGTGGCTTAGAATCTTTCTTTCCTAAACCTAGCAAGGTGCTTTAGTTAAAAGTGTGAATGGATCTAACAGCTAACATGCTTTGCTCACTTATGCTATGTCAGTCTACACACACACCTCATGTTTAATCCCCAATCTCAAAGGAGACTAGGAAGGCTTAGTAAGGCCGCAGAGTTCAGAGAAGGACGCCACTCATCCAGGTATGCACAGCTGAGAGGATGCGTTGTTTCTGCCCACGTTTTCATAGATGGCCTTTGCTTTCACATCACTGTGAAAACAGTAAGACATTCCTGCCACTGATGACTTCTCACCATCTTTTCCGGTCTCTGAATGCTGATGGGAAACTTTGGGGCCTTTGTGTGATCACAAGGACCTAGCCTAAACGAGAAGCATTTGTAATTAAACAAGATTTTTACCAATCTCTGAACGAGAAGTAGAACAAATTATTTGGGTGTTGCCACAGAGCAGAGTCCAGATGTGTGTACATAGGCTCAGGCGTCCCACGTGTCAGCGTGCATGTGCCACTCTGTCCAGAAGACTTCTCCAGCTGTGTTCAAGGAACAGCAAAGCTTTTCTGAAGCAAATGGTTATAAAACAAGCAAAATCCCTGAGCAGATAGACCTCTGCACAGCTAGTAAGGCTTTCTACTCTGGTATTTTGAAAGCTCATCTGATATTTGGGAGAATTTTTTATTTTTCTGGAGATCAGCAATGTAAAACTGTGATACTTTCCAGGGTTGAAAGGATACCTTGCTTGCTGGTGTGATCAGAGAGATAGATTTTTCCTCAGTATGAGTCGTTTTTGGAGGATAACCAAGGAAGAATTTACACAAGAAGCCTAGCTTTTTGGCACGACTGTGACCATGAAATATGTTTAACGTGAAAGCCATATTTTCCTGGCTTAGTGACTGATCAGTCTTAATGGCTTCAGGAAGAACGTTTAAACGTGTCTAGCAGCCACTCACAGCGGGGAGAGGGCTCAGAGCAGGGAAAGGCAGACCTTCCTCTTCCAAAAACAATTTCTGCAGACTGGATGAGAGAAGTGTTTACACAGCAAGGCAATCCATG